ACCCCCCCCCCCACTATGTAAAGCGCTTTGAGTGCCTAGAAAAGCGCTATATAAATGTAATGAATTATTATTAGTTTAGTTCAATGTATTTTTAATTTTTCTGCAGGGTTGTTTGGAAAAGCATGTAGTCCCACCCAAAACTCAAACCATTGGTTACTATGTCAAGTCCTATGAACAATTTGCAATTCTGTTTGGTGCCTCTAGTGGCACGGAAATGACAAACTGTACTTTTAAGAAATCAACAATCACACATAGTACTTTGTCTATATAAAATAACTGCTGAAACATTTTTATTCTTTATTAAATCTCCAGATCCTGAAGTAATCCTGCAGGCAAAAGAGGAAACGGCATTAGTGGATGGTGAGAAATGAGCTGTCTCTGTAACTGTTTGTCTGGCTTTTGCCGACTCTCGTGGTTAAAAGGATTTGATCTGGCGATAACAATATATCTCCAGAAGTGTCACTGACCGAACTCTTTCCTGATGTTTCCACTCACAGATGCGTGCTTCATGAAACAGGATGTGGGGCCCTGCAGTGACTATGTTTTTAGCTGGCACTATGACATCCAGCAGAATGAATGCATTCACTTCTGGTTTGGAGGATGTGGAGGAAACAAAAACAGGTTTAACACGCAGGAGGAATGTGAAGCTCTTTGTGTAAGAGACGTTTAACCAGGATCACTTTCCGAATGACACTTTTGAGCAAAGACTTTCTTCACTCTCATATTTAGCAATCATTCTCTCTGAGCTAGAAAATTATATTTGTGCAGGTTATACAACAAAAAACACAATCATTCACAGGCACCAGAACACAATAGCAAATAAGCATATTTTTTTATGTTCGTGGTACTTTTTCTTTGTGTAAGAGACATTTAACCAGGATCACTTTCCGAATGACACTTTTGAGCAAAGACTTTCTTCACTCTCATATTTAGCAATCGTTCTCTCTGAGCTAGAAAATTATATTTGTGCAGGTTATACAACAAAAAACACATAATTATTCACAGGCACCAGAACACAATAGCAAATAAGCATATTTTTTTATGTTCGTGGTACTTTTATGGTCAGCTAAGTATGGAAGCTTTGCTGTTTCCGCCAAGGGATAAAAAAAGGTAATTGTGGCTTTTTATCTCACAATTCTTACTTTTTCTCTTGCACTTCTTCTTTCAGAGTTTTGATATAAAATCGGTTTTTAATCTCGCAATTCAGACTTTTTTCTCAAAATTATGAGAATATTTTTTTAAGTCTGATCTGTGAAATAAAAAGTTGCAATTACCGACATATAGCGTTGTTGCGTTATGGGCATCCCAAGTTCGAATCCCGACTTGAGGACCTTTCCCGATCCCGCCCCCATCTCTCTCTCCCACTTTGCTTCCTGTCAGTTCTGATCTATACTAATCATAATAAAGGCAAAAGTGCCAACAAAAAACAAAACAAAAAAAACACTTCTGTAAGTCACAGTTGTGTGTAGATTAAAAAGTCAATGTATATAAAGTTTTCCAGTGAAGATGTTCTGTGACAGCACTAGTAATGTGCAATAAAAAAATGTTATACTGTTTTGATTAAAATAGTTTTCAGTAATTACACATTTGTTAAAATTTATGCATTTTTTAATTTTTAAAAATTTGGAAAAACTGCTCACAACCTGTTTTACTTCTGTAATCTGACCAGGTTTTCCAGAATAAAAAAGTACAGTTGGACTTGATTTTATTCATTTGGGAATCCATGGGTCATTTTAGATGTTTCATGTTCACTTGAAACAATGCTAAATATGCTGTGCTCAATGTTTTTTTCCACCAAAAAAGCGAATACATATATGTCATGACATTTATTCAGTAATATCCATAACTATTACAAAGTGATTGATTATAATGCAAGTTTCATCCCCATCCATGTCTTGCACTCAGGCCTCAAAACAAAACTACATGGGTTTAGCTGTGCAGAAATAACACTATAAGTGTAACTACTGCGTGAAACACTGTTTTAGCTCGCCATATCCCGTTTTCTGCAGTGTGATCATAAAAAAAACAAAAACATACAAAGCAAACTGTTCACACACAAACTGTTGGCTTTCAGGGTTTTATATAGTTACATTTCATTTTTTAAAGTGGATTTGATCCTAAATTACTTAATTATATTAATTGGCATTATATTTAAATTTACAGTGCACTTGATCAGATGTCAATTTAACGTGTCCCATCTTGGCACAGGGTTTCTCTCACTTCCAGACTTTGACAATGCCATCTCTAGAGGAGGTGACTATAAAGCCCTGGGTGGTCTGGAAAGTCACAATATCAGTAATGATGTCGTGGTGACCCACAGGAAAGGATTCTGGGCCACGGCGGGGTGTGTCCTCAGTGGATCCGCTTTTCTGTTTACTGTGGATCTCCTGGTTAGGTTGAAGGGAGACGGAGGAGAAGATCAATCAAATATAAATGTGCAGAAAACAGAAAATCAGATGGAAATGAGGTTCAGACCTGTACTACTTCTGTTCCTTCGATGATTTTGCGGTTGTAGAACACAGAAGGACAGTGAAGCGAGTCGTTTGCACCGCCTGCGACGATGTATGACCTCTCAGGGTAGGCCAAATCCCAAAACCTGCAGATATTATACAGAACACACTCGAATTCATAACATGCTCAATATATCTGCACATGCTCTCATAACCTTGGGAATGTAAAACTTGCACCCAATTAATAATATTTGCTTGTGGAAATATTGGTTGTGTCTAAATCTGAATGCAGCTGATTTTGTATGAAGTTATCATTTGAAATTCTACTGAGGGTTCGAGATATTTGGAAAGTGCTTAAATCGTTTGAATGGAAACAAAAATGTCGCTTTCAAATATGAAATATTTCACATTAATGTGAAGGTAGTCTTTGTAAACAGGTTGTTGTGCAAACATTGGATTCGAACAAGCCTTGATGCCTTCTAACCTGCTAAATCATCACCCCTCAACAGTGTTTAGTTTGCTAATTAGTGTCACCTGATTCTCATGTCAGAGCCAGCTGTAAGTAGGAGAGGATTGCCATCAGCAGGGCTGCAGTATATCCCATGAACACTGTGAGGAGAGGGCTGTAGAGAACAACAGATTCCAGTGTAATGACAGCAGCCAAATCTGGATTTATTTATTATTGTGAACGTGTATTGTGATGCAGAAGTGACAACATACCTGCATCTCTGAAAGTGGAGGTGCAGAGCTAGCCCACAGGGTGAACTTCCTGTCTCCAGTCTCCATATCCCACATGGACACCTCATTGTTACCTTGGACAGCTGAAGAGAATAAGAAAAACCTTTAAAACATTCATACTCTATTTTATATATTTTTAAGAAATCAATACTTTTATTCTGAAAGGATACATTAAATTCCTCAAAAGTGACAGTAAAGACTTACAAAAAAAATTTAAATTAAATGCTGTTCTTTTAAACTTTCTATTCTTTAGAAAAACTGTTTTCAACATTGAGAACCTTGAGCATCGCATCAGCTTATTAGAATGATTTGTGAAGGATCATCTGATGGAGTAATTACTTCTGAAAATTCTGCTTTTCCATCACCAGACTAAATTATATTTAAAATATATTTTTAAAAAGCTATTTTAAATTGTAATAGTATTTCAAAATATTGCTTTATTTTGATCAAATAAATGTAGCATTGGTGATCATAAGAGACTTTTTACCTGCAATGACAGAGGACTGGTAGAGTGGATGCATCAGCAGGCGTCTGATTCTCGCTCGGGCTGGGTGGGAGTGGCTGGAAATTGGCAACTGAAAACGCATATCCCAGCAAGCCATTGTGCCATTACTTGTGCCTGTGTAAGTAGGACATAAAATAAGTCCAAGCTTGATACAGCAAACCTTATGAATCACTATAATGGTATAGGGATTTCCTGAAAACATTCTTCTGTAATTTGGGTTTGATCGGCACACATGTCTGCTTCACTTGCTTGTACGAGCACCAAGAAACACCACCCAAACTATCCATCCCTCTTACCCACACACAGCCAACACTGGTGCATGTCCACAGCAAAGGAAGTGATGAGGCCTAGGCGCAGGTCATGGCGGAGGGTCCAGGCATTGCTATTGCTGCGGAGATCCCAACCCACCAAAAAACCGTTCACAGTGGCATAGGCCAGAACCGTCTGTGCCCCTGAGTTAAAGTGATGTACGTCCACCACACAGCCCTCATCCTTGGGATCCAGGAACCTGGAAGAGACTCAATGGCTCACTGATCTGACTGGTTGAGTGACACTGACCTGAGTGTGATGGTCTTGATTTACTCATTTGTACCATTGTATGGCAGCACACAAATTTAGGATGCTACAAGTGGAGTTACATGACCTGCACACACCTGGTCTGACAGGGCTGGACTTTGGGTGATTTGGGCGGCTTGTTTGCTTCAACTGCAAGAAGCTGGATGGAACCATTATCTGATGCAACAGCAAGGTAATGTGACCCCTGACAAAAGGTCAGTGTTTTCACATGGCCTCCAATCCGAGAATACGTCAGCACAGACCTGAAACGATCGCATTTTCAATCATTTCAGCTAACATAACAGTAAAACAACAACCTAGACAATTTATAAACATTGTATAGATATTATCTACCTTGTGGTGGTCGTCCTGCCCTCCATTTTCTGGCTGTCCCAGATCTTTACAGTTCCATCATTGGAGCATGTAGCAAAGATGGAGTGCTCGTCGGAGACTCGGATTCGGTTCACTGCGGATTTGTGCTCATGGAGATGGGCCACTAGAAGACCTTTTGGATGCCACCCTGCAATGTAACAGCTGTGGTTACCAGTGGAAATAACCTGTGTGAACATACATCTATATGTGTATATATAATACTACTGTTATAATCTTTTTTTATATTTTTATATTCTTTATATTTTTTTATATTTAATAATAAAAATATGTGTGTGTGTCTGTGTCTGGAATGACATGAAGAAACAGAACAAACTGAGACAGACTAAATCCAGAAGAACTGTGGCAACGTCTCCAAGATGCTTCAAGAGACCTCCCTGCAAAGCTACAGTGCAATTAAAAGTTTTAGGCACTTGTGTAAAGTATAGTATATATTTATTTAATGCCATGTCAGCATCTTAGGCTATTTTAAACAAGCTAGGAACTCCAATTTAAAGTAGTTCAAAAAAAGTTAGTTACACTACAAGCCACTAACAAAAAGTTACTTAATGGAGCAATATCTTTTAAAACAACTTCATGATATTCAGAATTTGATCATCATCAAACATACATTAGCAGGCTATTTTCATGGCAAAAACAATTAAAAAAATATAAGTATAACAAATACAATAAAAACCAGCAAACAAACAAATTTTTTACCATTTGTGTAAAAATGCTGTAAAATGAGGATGCTGTCAAAAATAATGTCATAAATAGATTTTCTTTATCAATTAACTTCTATTAACTAAATTAAATCAACATTTGGTGTGACCATCCTTTGCGTTTAAAGCAGCTTTTGCCCTAGGACCTAGGTGCACTTGCGCAGTTTTTCAGTAGCTCTGCAGGTAGGTCTCTTGAAGAATCTTGGAGACTTTGCCACAGTTCTTCTGGATTTAGTCTGTCTCAGTTTGTTCTGTTTCTTCATGTCATTCCAGACAGACTGGATGATGATGAGATCAGATCTCTGTGTGGAGCACTGGCTGTTGTCAGACTCCTTGTGCAAACAAAAATCTCACTGGATTATTACAATTAATGGCAAAATGAATGTTTGGAAATGTAAACTTGATATTTCCTACTGACACACTACAGCAAAAGATAGAAATAACTGACTTAAACCCATTTTTTAGCTGGTGAAAATACTAGAGTTCTAATAATTTTGGCCACTACTGTATATAGTTACTATTGGACAATGGGGGGCCTTTGAGGCTGAGATCCACTGTCCTGTGATTTCAAACAGATTAATGAACAGCAGCATTTTTCTAATTATTTAATTATAAAAATATATATAATACTGCAGTCCAATTCAAATCAATCTTTTTTTTAATCCTTTACATAACCCATGAAAATGGTACTTTTAGCTTTTAGTTCCCAATTAAAATGTCTTTGCATTTTAAATATAAAAAAATTAAAAAACAGGTCAACAAAAGTCAGCTGCAGATGATTTCTGTACAAGACCGAGCAAGCAGAGGCTAGACAGCCACACAATGTACTTGTATTAGCTAGGTAGCATGTGACTGCTGTACCTGGCAGTGGAGGCTTGGTCTCCCACTCTGCACTCTCCATCATCTGTTTGGCCATGCGTTCTGCATTGCATTGCTCTCTTTTCTGCTGCACCAGCTGCTGTAGCTCTGCCTTGCATGTGGTGATGCGCCGCTGGTACGTGGATGCTCCGGTTACAGACTGTACCACTTGAATAGTAGGGAGTG